GAACCCAGGGCCCCAGCCCAGCGCCGCCCCACGATAAAAACCTCCGGCTGGACCCGTGGAGAAGGAGTTTGGGAATACCTGCATGTTCTACACGGGCAGTTCGGGTAGGCAGCGTAGGCTGCAGAGGAACAAGTAAGGCTGTGGCGGTGGAGCCTTCTTCGGGCGTCTTTCCATCTCTTTCCGGCAGGGAATAACCCCTTTACTTGTTCCCCTGCAGCCTGCGCAAGCCCTTCTGAAGCGGGGAGTATATTCAGCGCGCTGGATTGGCGCCAGGCGCCTGAGAGGAGCGACATCGCTGCGCCACAAGATGGAGGAGACGAGCCAGCTCCGGGGCCGTGCGCGGCACGTGGGGCCTGACGCGGACGATCACACAGGCCGCCGGACGCAAGCGCAGCGTCTCCCACCAGGACACTCCCACCGACACACACACACACACGCAGCGATGGTTCAGGCACAGAGCCCCGCAACAAGAACAAATACCACAATCCGCACGCTGTACAGCTCCTACCATGATTAAACCTGACCTTTCCCCCACCCCAGTGTTTTTAACTGTGAAAGAGTGAATGAAAAGGGTTTTTCTTCCCTTGAATTGTAAAAGATCTCCCTGCACTTCGAAAGTACTTTTAAAAAAGATGTATTGGTGTCTGCTGGTGGGGTGGCGAGAGGTTTCTCTGTGTGTTTTGTCCTTATTTCTGATTTCTAGCCTGGTCTCCCTGACTGCAGTCCCATCAGTCTCCACAGTCTGCAGCAGAGCGGTCTTGAAAGCAGGTGATTTCTCGGAACGCGGTACTGCAACGCCAGGGGGCGCTGTCACCCCGCCTTCTCTCACCCCCAAACACTTCGCACCTCATCCGCGAACAGGTTCCCCCTGAGAACGACGGAGACGCACGGCAGGCGGTGAAAACTGAACGGGCTGGACCACCCAGACAGCCCCCTGTCGCCATCCTCCTGCTTTCCAGTGCGGCCTCGACGCCTGGGCCTCTGTAGAAACTCGTACACAAACGGCGGCCGGGAAACCGAAAGTAAAACTTGCGATGCGGGAAAGTCCCTGGCGCTCGTCCAGGGGCCGTCGCCCCGTAAACAGAACAATAAAAGCGACTTTGCTGGCCCCTCAGACGCCCTAAAGGTGTTATTTCCAATAACTGACCGCGGTGAAGTTAGAGACCAGACGGACCAGCGGGTAAAAAGGCTGGCCGTGTAAATAACCGGCTCATACGAACAGGAGAGTCCGGTAATATCCAGACAGGGCGGCGCGGTACACGGATGTGTCATTTCTTCTGAGAAAAAGTTAAGGACAGCGATCCGGGACTCTAAACAACTTCTCCCTCCACTCAAACACATCCTGTTACACGACGGCTCCCCCCTTCCTCCTCAAACTGGCTTTGAGAATCTGGGCAACGTAAACCGCCGCCCGCCCCGGAGACCAGGGCGAGACGGACCCCCGCACTGCTGGCCTTCGCCACCGAGTTGTGCCGCCGAAGCCCCCCCAGACGGGGCTCAGAAGTTGAAACCGTCCACGGCGAGGGACGCGGCTGAAATAACCATCCCGACGGCAAGCCCAGACACCGAGGAGCTTTTACCTGCTGCGGCGGCCGCCGAGTCGAGGTAAGCGAGGAAGGCCACCAGGGCTGTTAGATAGAGGACCTTCATCTTCGGCTTCTGGGTCGGTAAAGTCGGGGTTTCTGCGCAGCACGGCTCCGTGCGCTGTACCGGGTGACTCTGCAGGCTTCTGAGACACAACAGGAGGGACGAGACGTTAAATGCGGCGGAGGGTGGAGCGCTGTCCCGCCTTGCCCCGCTGTCCAATCAGCTATTTCTCCGCTGCTGAGACAGACGTCGCCAGGCAGGTTTCGGCGGCGCAGGTTGGGTGGACGCTGGTAGATGCGCACGGCCGAAACCGAAAGTGCGGCATGAGGGGCGGGGGGGTGACAGGAGCCACTCTGAATCATCAGCTGTGTCTTGTTCCACACTCCCCCTATCCTTTGTGTAGAGTCTCCCGTCCTGACTTTTTTCATTTGAAGCAAAGATTGTGCGTTTAGTCAGCTGCTCTGTCTGTCCTCTGCGTGTGTTCCGCCGGCTGAAGCCCAGAACGAGATTAAATCAGCGGAGACCACCGAGAAAAGGCGGGTTCGGGGTTCGGTGTTCTGGGTCCGCTCCCTGCTTGCTCTCACAGGATGGTCTCGCCCGGCCCAGCTGCGCAGTCAGGGCCAGAGATACTGGACACTGCTGGTGAGAGATGTTCTCTTACTGAGCCCGCTCAGGGCGGCCTCACACCTATCGAGAGAGGACATTTCCAAGGGCAGAGCCGCAGCGTGAGAGACACAGGGGGACACGGTGCCGTGCGGGTCAGAGGTGGTGGCCTGTTTACAAGCTCATAAGAAAGGTTTCAAACGAGAAGAGGCCATGTTGCCCATTCAGCCTGTCTGGGAGTAGCCAGTTCATCCAGGGATCTCATTCAGCTGTTTTTCGAAAGAAGCCACAGTATCAACAACAACAACAACAACAACAACAACAATGGGGTAGCTTGTTCCACACTCCCACTTCCCTTTGTGTAAAGTTGTGGTTCTATTTTCCAATTATGTCCTCAGTACCTTCAGTCTATCAGTGTGGGACACTCCCTTCAGACTAAAGAGGCTCAGTTCCTTCAGCCTGTCTGTGTGGGACACTCCCTTGTGACTAGAGAGACTCAGTTCCTTCAGCCTGTCAGTGCAGTCTTGTGGTTAGGCCCAAGCCTCTTGTCAGTGTAAGACATTCCTTTTACACTTATCATTTTTTCAAGTTTCAACGAGTAGAAACCTATTTTTTCACCGCTATAAACAGTGGAACAACTAAATCAATAGTACCATTAATGAAACGCTCTGCCAACGCTGGGAACAAGAGCAGACTGGAATATAAAATAACTTTTTTGGATTTAAATAATCCTTTATAAAAATCCTGTTTGTGCTGAGAATAGGAACAACTATTCCTAAAGTAAGATTTACTTTTTAAATCTGTTACAGCACTTTGTAACATGCGCCGTGGTGGATTAGTTGAACACAGTTGTGGAGATGCGGCTGTTGAAAACAACAGCCGTGTCTCCTGGAGGCGGCGTCACCAGCCTGACGTTTCCTGTTGTGTTGATGTTTTGTAATGGCTTCTGCGTGGAAGGTTAGGGACATCTTTAGACATTAAGAAGTATATATCCCGTGTTTTTATGCCCAGTGGGATCCACACACATATACAGTATGGGTACCAGCCGTGTGTGCTGTGTTGTTAAAGCAGGGCTAAATACTGCGTGTGGTTTTGTACAGTTCACCATAGGAGCGCGCCTACCACACAGTACTGTATATCCACTCTGTTTTCTCCCAAACTGTGTAGTCAACTTATGCGCATGGTAGCGAATTGTTATCCACAGGATTTATCATTTGACGACTTGACAAGTTTTATATCAGGCCTGCCGCTGCCAAACAGCGAATCTACCGGAAGCAAAAAAAACCTAACGGCTCGACCCGCTCCTTAATCGTATACAAAAACAAGTCATTTAAAAGGTGTGAGGGGGAGTTGAGGATTGTTTTGTAGTATATTTTAAGATGAACAGCTGAACAAGAAATTGAAAAACTGACGCCTTTAAATGTACATGTCTCTGTTGTTTCGTGTTTTTTTTCAAGGCACGGGTTGAACATCACAGCCAGACCTGTAAACGGAACCACTCCTCGGTGCCAGAACACAGATTTCAAACGGAAACCGAAACAAAGTGAGCGAAGACGACGCGGCGGTATTCCCCTACAATTCAGCCGCTCTCGTTGTGATGGTCTGTCGGTTTGTCGCTCTCTATTCGTGTCTGTGCCGGGGGATTTCGGCAATCAGGGAGTAAATAAATCACGGGATTTTGTCACGACCTGAAAACAGCTGCGTCCGCCGTAAAAATGGTTTTCTGGCGGTTAAAGCCAAGGAGGAGTTAAACAGAGATGTTAACGCGCCGTTCCCGTCCTCGGTAACACCCAGGCTGCGTAATCGACCTCACTGGGGCCAGATCTTCTTGAGAGCAGTTAATCTGCTTTACCCTGTTTCCAGTCGCGGGGGATTCCGGTTGAACTTGCGCACCCGCACCTTGAAGTATATCAGGAACATGAACGCCTGCCTATAGTCAGTATTCACCACCGTTTCAAGAGGCTCACAACCAGCTGTTTCTTGGAAAGACATCAGGGTCTCAGCTTCATCCACATGGCTGGGCAGCTTGTTCCACACTCCTACCACCCTCTGTGTAATGTAGAGCCTCCTGTCCTGACTGGAGGGTATCATCCAGCTGTGTCTTGTTCCACACTCCCCCTATCCTTTGTGTAGAGTCTCCCTTCCTGACTTTTTTAATTTGAAGCAAGCTTGTATTATTTTTACTCTTAGGTTACTTTCTTTTGTCAACACCTTAACCGTATACAAATAATATCATCATCATTCTTACACTTATATAGCGCTTTTCTGGACACCCCACTCAAAGCTCTTTACAGGTAATGGGGATCCCCTCCACCAGCACCAGTGTGCAGCCCCTCCTGGATGATGCTCCAGTCTGCTCACACACACCAGCTCTCAGTGGGGAGGAGAGCAGAGTGATGAAGCCAGTTCAGAGAAGGGGGTTATTAGGAGGCCATGACTGGTAAAGGCCAGGGGGAAATCTGGCCAGGACACTGAGGTAACACCCCTACTCTTTTTGAGAAACACCCTGGGATTTTTAATGACCACAGAGAGTCAGGACATCGGTTTTACATCTTATCACCTGGACAGCGCCTTTTTACAGTATAGTGTCCCTGTCACTATAGAGCGGCATTGGGACCCACACAGACAGTGTGAGCACCCCCTACTGGCCCCACTAACACCTCTCCCAGCAGCAACCTCAGCTTTCCCAGGAGTCTCCCCTCCAGGTACTGACCAGGCTCACACCTGCTGAGCTTCAGTGGGCTGAAGGCTGTGAGCTGCGGGTAATATCGTTTCCCCCCAAAGTCTCACATCACCGTCTTTGTGTTAAAAGAACAAAACAAAACAAATGCCAGTGAGAACGTCCTTAGTGCCCCACGAATAACACTTTATTACAGTGCTCAGGTTGTGTCGGCTTAAGTCAACCTACTGCTTGCTGCTCAGAAGCGCCCCCTGGTGGACCTAGTTGATGATGCGCACTTTTTCTCACAGCAGTACTAGTATGTCTTTGGACTGTGGGAAGCAACCTGAACATTGATTTAAAACAAATGCGATAAAACAGTTTTGAATAATGTTATATGTAAATCAAATTCCTCTGTTTTCTGAAATAGTATTTATTAAAGAAATCAACATTGTAGATTTACGATTTGAGTAAAAGTTGCCTTCAAGCTCACTGAACATCCATTTGGCCTGTCCAGTACATTTGTTTCCAGGATCGGAGGCACCTGTTCTTGAGAGAAGTCAGGGTCCCGGCTTCAATAACACAGCTTGGCAACTTGTTCCACACTCCCACCACCCTCTGTGCATAGGTTTCCACATGGTTTCCACTTGTGCCGTGTTTCACGGGCTGTTCTGAAAATTTCACTGATATAGTCTGACACACCTCATAGGGGAAAACTATGATTTGGTCACTATCATTTCATTGTCCCCTGGCAACTTTTTTGTTTTGGTTCAAGAAAAGATCTTTGGCCGATCTGCTGCTGAAAACGTTCAGGACCTTTACTGGCCTCTGGTGGAAGGTTTAATTAAAGCAAGTGATATAGAAACGGAAAAGTCTTTCACATGCAGGAAGTGCAGACTCCCATCTGACAAACAAACAGTGTTTTGCTAAATGAGGACTCCACTATAGTGCACATATAGCCATTATCTTGACTTCTTTGAGAAAACAGCTGGATGAGATCCTCCAGGCAGGACAGGAGACTCTAGTTTACACAAAGGGTGGTGGGAGGGGGGAACAAGTTGCCCAGTCATGTTGTGGAAGCCGACACCCTGCCTTCTGTCAAGCAACGGCTGGATGGGATCCTGGGATCAATGAACCTCTACCAGCCAGCTGGCAGGTGAACGGAGTGGCCTCCCACAGTCGTTAAGTTTTCTCCTATTCCTGCAATCAGTGAACTACCCAGCCCTGCACTCTCCGCGTATCCCGTAAACAATTCCCGCCCCAGAGAGACGCTCGTTCACTCTCAGAGAGGGCATAAGATATACATGGCGGCATAAAACACAGAAACCACAGCCT